TGAATAATTTATTAAGAAAGTAAACTAATAATAACAATTAATTCAAAAAAATTGCTTTAGAATCTTTTCTCTTAGTTGGTATCTCATTAATATAAATTTTTTTTATATTTGTTTACTTTTTACGTATCATGGCGCAGAAGAAAAAATCGCTGATCCTTGCTCTTAAAGTTCAGTCTCTTATTGAATACTTCAAGAGCGTTCCAGCGTGTCATCTGCATATAATCTTAATAATAATACGTCAAAGAAACAATCTATTTTGTGAGACCTTTTGTGCTTTCAAGACAGTTTCTGAGTAATATTAAAAAGTCACAGTCTAGTACGACGCTACCCACACAATTATATTTTTTTATAAAACAATGTATATAAATATTTTATCATGCACGTGGTATACAATAAAAAGATATCCAATAAAGAGAAAAAAAGCGAGCTATTAAATAATCATCTAATTGAGAAAAATTGTTTTTATGTTATGTTTACATAATTTTATATTTCCAACATAAAATTTTTTTGTTTACGTTTTTTACATATCCGAGAGTATAAAAAAATCATTGAATTTTGCTCTTAAAATTTTGCTCAATGGCTGCGTTTAGCAGAAAAAACTAGTGAGTTAACACTTAGTGATTCTTTATATGATTGATAGTTCCTACAAGAACATGATTCCTACACTTAAATCCAGTGAAGAACCAATCATATTAAAGATTCACTAAGCGTTAATTGATTGATTATCTGCTGTTATTGGTTTCTGCTGAACTTAGCTATTCTCTTATCGAATATTTGAAGAGCACTTTGACGTGTCATCCGCGTAATATCTTAATCAAATGTCAAATAAATAATCTGTTTTGTAAATATGCGATTTACAAGTAGATTAAGCTATTTGCAGCATATTCGAATTTTCTTTCTACACAGTTAAATATTAAAAACTTGAATTTAAATCAATTCTTTCAATTAAATAATGTTTTGCTAATTTTATTGTTTTATGCGTGTCACAATTTATTATTTAAACACAATACATATGATTAAAAAAATAACCACATCTAATCATTCCGTTTTTGTGGTTGAATTGCGTATTTTAAAAATAAGCATTCATATGCACCTAGTAAATAATAAAGTAAATTTGAGTCAAATTTAATATAGTATTTTTTTTAATTATTTAACTTTTTTTATTATTTTAATCAAATTAACGATATATTGAATAGGAGCAATGGGGACCTATCTAAATAATTAAAAATTATTATTTTTAAACTGAATATAGTTCGACATCACGAATTTAACAGTGTCTGTGTAGGAATAATAAACTAAATTTGAGTCAAATTTAATATAATATTTTAGTTAAATTATTTAATTTTTTTATTATTTTAGTTAAATTAACAACGTATTGAATAGGAGCAATGAGGACCTATATAAATAATTAAAAATTATTTAAACTGAGAATATAGTTCGACATCACGAATTTAACAGTGTATGTAGGATGATCAGAAATGGACGAGTTGGATAGACGCACAGAACGATATTCCTTGTTGAAAACTATGCGAGGTTAGTCATCTTCAAAGCCGAGAATCAGATATCTTGGTAATTCAAGTTACTCGCTTCGAATGAAGATTCTACAAGAGGGAAGACCACTTGCTAATTAACTGTGGAATAAACTTTTCTCATCGATCCCCGAGGCGTACGACTAGCCGAGCAGAAGCTCTTTTTCTCTTAATCGTTCACATAGGTCAAGCACTACTTGAGCACCGCGACGTTTTCGTTAATGGAAAACTATTTTTGTCTTCAACGAGGAAGATCGCCTCCAACACGTGTGATATCAAACGCTTCCGTTACTTATTGTTCTTACTTATTTGTTCATTTAAAAAAATACTGGTATGAATTTAACGTCAATTTACCATGCGATATCTATATAATTCTCACTGTGTTAATAGTAACACTAACATGATGTGATTTAATGCCATAATTTTATGATGATAGAAACACCACAGGTTATAAATCCGCAGCATTCTGGTATTAATATTAACACAATGAGAATTATATAAACACATCATAGTACCCACATACAACATAGTTTTATAATGTGTTCATATTAATATCATCACGTAGTAGATAAAATCTATGGTATTAACTTACATAATGTCGATGTTAATATTAACACCGACACAGTGAGAGAATTATATAAACACCGCACATTAAATTCACATCGATACTTTATCGATTCTTTTACATGTGACGATCATTCTCTCTTTCTCTGTCCCTCCGTTTTTCTTTATCTCTCTGCGTTCCTCTTTCAGTGAAGCGCTCTAATATCTTACGTTGTTTTCTCGTTTACGTTCACGTGGCACGTGCTCATATACTCGTGGAGAACGAACGAACGAGCGAGCAAGCGTCGTGACGCCCCGGATAAGCAAAAGAAGGTGCCGTCGCGTGTCGGCCTCCGCATATACGCCGCGGCCGTCGTCGTTATTAGTTATTAACGCGACCGAGCGACCGCTTTTTTCCACGAGGGTGTGCTCACGCAGCACGTCACCACCAGGGATCGATCTTCGGCCACGAGGTCGAGGGCTGGAAAGTGTTACGAGAAAGAGAGAGAGAGAGAGAAGAGACAGGGGCGGTAAAGAGGGGAAGAGGGGTTGTGCACAGGCACTACCTTCTTCTTCTTGGTCGAGGCCGAGCCGAGGAACCGCCCTTAACCCTATCAAATTTTTAACGGACCGTCGACTCACGTCGACGGCTTTCCCGAAGATCGACCGAATGGTGGGATCGATAAGAAAGAAGAACGTTAAGGGGAACAATAGATACTTCGTAAATAAGCAAAAAATATGTCAGAAAAGTATCCGAAAAATTATTAAAAGTGTTCGATACATTTATACTGTCTTCAGGCATCACAATACATCCTTCAGACATTCTTGCGTGGATATGTTTGTGTGTGTGTGTGTGTGTTTGTTTTAACTAGTTTCAAAGCTTGGATATTGCACGAGCTGGTATTATGTCTTCGGAGAGTAGAATAATCTTGCTCCCTGGAATAGGTTATTAGTGGCGTCAGAGCTGACGCAATGTTTTTCAAGGCAAGTACTGTCTGCTAACTTCGAATCTTGGCATTAAGATTGGTAAAAGTTTGGTGACAATAGATTACGTGACGTTACAATATTTTTATGTGTGAGTTAATCGTAATTTCTTAATAATTCTGTGTGTGAGGATGGTTTATTTTTTAAGTCGTAATAAGAATTTTTCTTCAAGGATTTTATTAAGCAACCCTTACAGAATTTTCCTATATAGAATAGACATCCAAGGGATGTCCTAAAGATCTCCAGAGGAGATCTTCTCATGTTATTTGAAGGTTTTAAGGACATTTTCAGAAACATCTCTTGAATTAGATATGTGTGCTATGTTATATGAGTTATACTGGAAGATATAATGATGAATTACTTATTTTGTGTATTAAAATCATGTTGCTTAGTGCTTTTAATACTTAAATTAGATGATTAATCACTACCTGTTAGCATTAAATTTAGTACAAACCGCTGAGGGATTTTCCTAAAGACCTACAGAGAATGTCCTCGTATCCTCTGAATATTCTAAGGATGTTCTTAGAATGTGCAGTTATATTAGAAGATATATATAATGATGAATTACTTATATTGAGTATTAAAAGCGCATTATTCGAATGTAATTTATCGCTTTCTATTAGTATAAAATTGGCCAGTATTAAATTAGATTTCTATAAGCAAATTCGATTTTGACGTAGACAAATGTTAGAATTTATTTTAGAACTGTACAAATCCGATGTCGAATCTATATTTATAAAACTGAACTTTGATAATAATTTTCTTTAGAAATTTCATGAAAGAAATATTAACAATTTTCGCTAGAAATATTATACAATACTACAAATACTATTAAGATAAAAATACTTAGCGCTTCTTTTACATTTTTAATGTCTTTTTTTTAGATATATATTTATAGAATTAAAATTTGAGAATCATGTCCTTTAAGAGCAATTTATCTTTCAAACAATTACAAAAATCCTTCGTTAAAGGATAACGTGACATTCATCCCTGCACATTTATTTCGATTAGCTCTACGTTTCTAGAGTCAGAGTGTCACAATCCCTTCTTGAGGCGATTATTGCCAATGACAATATTTTTCAAGGTAACACCTGATGCTAGCTGAAGCCAATTACTGCATAAGCCCGATTCCGGTATGTTTCTATTATCGGGCACCCCAACAATAAAGACTCGCTCTACACCAGAAAGAAACTTAATCTCAACAATTTTTCTAAAGATCTCTCAACTTTCCCATTAAAAAAATTGCTCCCTCAAGCCTCATTGACTTTCTGCTAGATTACTCTCGAAATATCTCGATGTTACGATTACTTCAACGTCGTGAACACTTCGCGACGTTCAGTTTCATATTTTTTCCAGGGTCAGAACTAATCTTATTCTAAGCTGGCAAGAGGAAGTGAAGTGGCTTATATTAGGGGGGAGAAGGCAATATTTTTCAAGGCAACAACTGCTGCTCGCGACCCCGTCCTCGGCAACGAGCGCGAAGCCAAATGCAAAGTGCGACAGCAATTCGCATTTTCGCCAAATTAAGATATCATAATCTCACGTTCTCCGGAAGAGAACGAGCGCCGCGACTAGCGCTCGATTTACCGAGCGTCAATGACGGAAAGAGGGTGAAAGCGGGGGAGGGAGAAAGAGAACCAAGCGAGACGGACTACGCGGGGGTGCCATTTCGACGTCTGATCGACATGACATCTCCGCAGTGCCACGAGCGCGTATCGCGAGTACGCAGTTCGCGAGCAGGCAGTTCGGGGAGGTTTCAAAGATGGCCAGTTCTTTGCGTGGTGTTCCTCTGCCGCGACACACACGGAAGCTCGAAGCGGATAGAGACACAGGCAGAGAAAGAGAGAGCGAGAGAGACGAAAAGAAAGAGAGAACGAATGAGAAAGAGAGAGAATGAGATAGAAAGAGGGTGAGAAAGAAGGTGGACCGATCGAAGGGACTCACGTCTCTCATCTCGCGGCCGCGGCGACGTGCTCACGTGCGAGCGTCGTCGTTCCAGCGAGTCCGGCGCCAACGACGACGGCGACGATGACGGATAATAGGCACGTTAGTGCGACGCGTAATTCACTATTATTTGCTGCTGCTGTTACTGTTGCTGCTGCAGTCGCGCACGACGGTCGATGCGCCAGGCGCATCGCCCCAGCAACCACGGCACGAAGCTCACGACTGGCTCGTTGCGAGCGAGCGAGCGCCAGCCGGGGGTTGGCTTGAAGTTCACCGGCTTGTCGAGGAGGTGAGGTGAGGTGAGGGGAGGGTGGAAGGTTGAGGGTGAATCGGGGGAGCGACGAATGCCGCGACGCCTGCCGGCGTTCGTGGGAAATCACCCCCGAGCAGGCGCGACAGGGCGATGCTTGATTGGTGGCCGTCTTATTAGCGACGGGGTTGCGAGGGGGTTATGTTGTTTCGGTACCGGTGCGGCATTGGTGACTTGATGGTTCGTCATGTTGGTCTTTTTTTTTTTAAGAGGGGAGTAGCGGTACCACGTAATCAACGTGTTTTTGAATTCTTTTTCAAACTCCGTTATGTATTCTGCTATCAACTTTTAATATCTCTTTTTACTAAAGTTTTTATTATCATTTATAATTCTGGAATTTTCTGAAAATGAGATTATTTGAGCTCTTCAACATTGTTTTTTAACTTCACTTTGTTTTTCAATTTTATTAAGAAAATTATATTGAATAATATAATATTAAAGAGTTTAAGGAGCAACTTTTTATTTTTAATAAAATATCATTTAATAAATAATCATTTCAATATATTATTTCAATTTTGGAATTCTATTAAAAATGAAGAGTTATTCTTTAAACTCTTTAACAAAATATTATTGTATCATTCAATATTGAATATAGTAATAGAAATATATTAAAATAATATTTCCGGGATTAAAATAATACATTTTAATTATTATATCAATATATTATTTTAATCCCAGAATTCTATAAAAAATAAGGAGTTATCCTTAAACTTTTTAACAAAATATATTGTATTATTTAATATTATTTCTTTAATAAAATTGATAAACATTAAAAATGAAATTTATGTCTATCTTTATGTTACATATATATATATTTACTTCTTTATTTCATTGTTGTGTTTTGTATTATTAATATTAATAATTATTCATGTCTTCCATGAATTGGAAGATACATAATTAAATTTCTTGCGTATCTTAAATATTAATTGATATCGTTGATCCGAATATGATGTAAGATATCTGATAAGGATATCTTCGAGAATAATGAGGTACGGTGGACCATACGGCGCTGATTTAATTGGAAACGTAATGGCACATTCGTTATAGCAAAGTAGCAAATATCTGGCACACGTGGCGAACAACAGGGTTAACGGGAATTCATTTTCGATATCAATTAAGCCCGCCAGAATGCATATATCCAAATTCCTCCGGTTCGCCACTTCTGACGTCGTCGACGCGGCCTTGAACTACTTCGCGCGAAACCAATCGCGAAACGCGGCATCGCGCGGAGCAATCTCGGTATCTGGGTGACTCTTTCCACAGTTAGGACAATACGTTGGGGCAGGCTTAGTTGAAGGACAGAAAAGAAGCGGCTTTAAATTATCCGCGGCTAAAGATAGGTCGTTTCACTTTATATTTCGAATCAAAGCCACCTGAATATTTAAGGCTTGTTCACTTGGAGAAAAACAGTTGCGGCAATTATGAAGGTAACCAAGTTTTATATGTAAAATTAATGTATACAAATAAGTCATTTTACAATTATTGCAATTATAATTAGTTATGCAATTCTGTAACTTGTAATTGTCATTTTTACAATTACTACTATTATGTTCTCTGAGCGTGATATATGAAGTGTTAGAAGTGTCGAAGACTACTAGGATTGCTGCCAAAACTCTTTCGACTTGTTGGAATTTTAATAAGAAATGTGCTACTGTTGAATATTTTCCGGGAAAACGAGAGAACAAAATTTTTCCTTATTTTTCTTCTTTTTTTCCTATTTTGTATAAAAATATTCAAATGAGATCAGCGAATATCTTTATAAGATCTCTGAAAAAATTCTCATGTTATATTTTTAAGAATTTTTCATATCTTAAATTTATAAAAATGTTTAAAAGATTATTTTGCACTTTTTAAAATTTTTTAATTTTTTTCAAAAATTATAGAATATTTAAAAATTCATAGATATAAATATTTCTAGAAAAGATGGGGATTTTCTTAACATTTCTGAAGTGTTTCCATTCGTGTGCAAAAATTTAAAAAGTTTTTGGAAAATTTATATAGGAATTATATGGAATTTATATAGGAATTCTAAAAAATTATATAAAAATTCTAAAAAACATTTTCATCGGGGATGTTTTACATTTTATCCGTTTATGATTATTATTAAAAAAATTCAAAATATCAAAGAAAATAATATTGATTCATTCTACATCGGGAAATATTATTGTAAGTTATAAAGTTTATCATGTAATTTTATATATTTAATTTTCACGTTATGAAGATTTTAAATCTAACTCTTATATGCCCTTTCATAATATCATTATCGTGTATTATTAACAAGAGTTCTTTATACTGATTGTTTTTTATCAAAGAAAAAAATTAACTTGAAGAGATTTATAGAATTCTTGCCCTAATAAATCGTGCAAATGTAATGTAGAAAATAGAAGTCTTTTAGACTCGAAAATAAATATAAATTTCATTTTGATAATTTATTTAATAATTCTACGTTTTCCCAACTCGATTTTCTCAGCAAATAAGAACACGATCATTATCCACTGGGATCTCTCGCTATTCTATTTTACTCGAGAAATATTGTTAGACTCCTGGAACGGCTGATGATTATACCTCGATAAATCTTTGTCGAGCTGGAACGACAGCAATCTAACTATGTGCCTTCCACTTCATTTCTCACTCAATCACGTCCTTGAATATCGCAGGAACTATTGGAATGACTTGGTACAAATACTTCCTGTCAAGACGAAACGGCGGTCTTCTTCGTCGATCGCAAACCGCTGGACGAAACCATTAGCTCTGTTTAGCTTTGGATAGAGTCTTACTTACCTGCAAACCGAGTATTCGAGTTCCTTGCGGAGAAGATCAACAGGTTCGCGTGCCGGATGTGCCGACACACGGCGGAAGTCCACTCGTCAGCCACGTGAAATTGTTCCTCGTGATACCGATCGGTTCGACCTTTCACCCAATGAAAGACCCGCGTAAGACTCACGGCGGATTTTCCATCCCTTTCTCTCTCTATTTCATTATCACAATTTAAGATAGCAGACGATTCACACGATTTAAGATAACAGACGATTCACGCGATAAGAGAATCTTTAAATTTCCTCTCTTCAGCTCTTTAAACGCATGACTATATTTATGATTCTTGGAACGCACCTTCTTTTCCACTGAACGTATCTCAATCTTTATCTCAAAAGTATCCATTATTTTACGAATGAAAATAGAGAGAGAAACTCTGGTTTTATTTGTGTGACCGTAAAAGTCATAAAAAGAGGAGTAGGAAAGGATAGAAATCGACGGGGCGTCGACAAATCACGGTGACTTTACGACCGTGAAGGATTGTCTGGGTAGAAGAAGATAAAAACGTACGCGTAAAAGTGTAGGCCATCTATTCTCACTTTTGTCAGATCGTACTACATACAATTCGCTTCTCGTCGGCGGTCTCACTATTTTTCCGAGGCCGTCTACACGTGAGGAGAATACACAGCTAGTTAGACAAATGAAATAGGGAGATGCACTCAGAGAAAAAGACATAGTGGTAGCAATATAAAAGTAACAGGTATACAAGTTTTATAAGTAGAATTATTGTACAGGAAATAAGATGGTTATGGAATAAGTAATGGAAATTGTGGAATACTACGATATCTTGTATAATTTACGCATAAAAAAATGTTTGATTTCATCAATTGGGATTCAAGTGGAAAGTAGATAAATCAGAACTTTCTGGTTAAATCTATTAGAATTCTAGTCAAGATAGTCAAGTAATAATTATCAAAATTCTGATTGATTACGATCAAAATATGCTGATTCGTTCATTTTCAACTAGAAATCTTCTTCAGTGTGATCACTGGTCATTAGTATTATATTTATTGTGTCGTAATTTTGAGAACATTGATATTGATTTTATAATTCAGTCTACAGCTTGAATGTGGCTTTCAATGATATAATTGAACTGGTAACGAAATGTATATACGCAACATATGATATAAATACTTAATACTATGTACTACTTGATGGTATTCCACATCTTCTCTTCTATTCCATAATCACAATCATAATTCCTTCTTCAGTTTTTTTATAAATTGCATTCATTCTGTATATCCGAAGAATGTCTATCTGTAGCATAATTAATATCACTCTATGGCTAACAAACTTGTATCAACTAACAAAAGTAGTTATGTCATATGAATATCTACTGACTTATTTCAATAAAATAAAATGGTATTTCATAAGTTCCATATATATGTATTTGAATAAACTACTTTATAGTTATTGCAACTGTAAGATAGTCTATTCAACTGTATGCATTAATTTATTCAACTATGTACATTCATTCTACATATAAAACTTGTATAGTCACCTTTTTAGCTGCTACCACTATTTTTCTCTGAGAATCTCTGGGAAAAGAGAAGAGAGGAGAGGGAAAAAAATCGACGGGGAAGTAAGTACAAAAATTGTATAAGGTCTAACATCTTTGTCGGGGGAAACCATATTCGAAACCTAAACATTAATTGTCGGGATGCTCGACCATAGGTTTGTTTTCCTTCTTTTCTTTCGGCCGCGCGGGAGTTTGTTGAATGTTGCGAAGCTTCGGTGAAAAAATGTATCAACGTGAAAAAATCGCGAGCGGCCGAACTTGCGGGGGGTTGAACTGGCTCTCGGTTAGTTGGTTAGCAACGCGGGTTTTGATTCTGACAACTTCGCTCACAAAAAACCGGACAAGCCCACTTTTTCTCGCGACGAATGAGTCGTCTATTATTTAGCGCTCGCTTCGCTAATGGAATATCGATTGACACCGAGAATCCCCTCCCAGGTACGCGACTGGGTGAAAAACTTGATCTACTTCTTTCGGATTTCCGGTATTTAGTCGCCGGAACCATTCGTCCTCAGAATAAATCGGATAATACATGATTTTAGCGTTTTCTGATTTAATTAAGATAACTATATTCAATATGGACTATTTAAGCATTGCGATTTTTGTTCAGTCTAACAGTAAAAACTGATGATAAGATTCAAAATAATCCGCATCAAATAGAAGTCATCATGACATCGAAATGGTTTTAAAATAATAACTCTATATAATAACTTTAATATAATATAAACTCTATAAATTACTTTTCAATCAGTTTCGATTCATTTTAACGTCTTTTTGACGTTGTTGTAATTTGTTCTGCTTGAGAAGAAACATTTTTAAACATTACTTGAAAATATTACATAGAAATATTATTACATAGGCATCAAACTCCAGCTTTGCGATCCGTAATTTGGCGCTTTTTATTTATTTGTGTTATTCACACTGCAGTCTAACTTATTATTGATTGATTGAAGACATAAGAGAAGCATTTTCAATATTTATATGGAAATAATGAGGACTTAATTTTATTCATTATTACCTGTAAACAACAAGTATTGGATAGAGTTACGTAATTCAATAATTGAATATTAATCATTCTATTAAAATAATTGTGGTACTTTTGTTAGACGTAAATATTTGCAAAGTTCAAACGTTCTCTCGAATGTTCAGTCGTTAATGCATTAAAAATACGTTCAATTAAATTAAATTTTTTTTTTCTTCAAGAACACCGAGCAGTCTCCACTTCAGATTTCATATATTACAATTATAGAAGAAATACTTTAATGTTTCTTCATTTACGCCAAATTCCAAAGTCAAAACATTGATAATTTAATTATTCCTCTACTGAAATAATATCAAAATATATTATATAATCTTGTGACATATTTCCAAGATTTCTCTATAAAGGAGAAAAATGGACTTGTCTGACTATCTACGTCTGACTATGGACGTGACTGAATCTACCAGTTCCGACTTTTTTATAACGATAGAAAAATATAGACTTATCTAATCATTAGCAGTCAAGCTGCTGACGTAATAAAACTAACTGACGGGATAAACAACAATTAACAATAATATAACATCAGTATTATAATTTCATATTTAAAAAATATAAATGTAATAATTCAATATAATTCATGTTGTACATAACAATTACATTAAGAGTAAAATTATAACACTGATGTTATGTTATTGTTAATCTGGAAACACTAGTCGGTCTCGATTAACATTTACTAGACGGATACATCTCCTAATGAACGAAAATTTTCCTCCAGCCTCTCATGAGATCAGAAAAAGTGGGCATGTCCGATTATTGCGAACCGAAATTCGTTCTCTGCTTTATAGCAGTTGAGAGAAGAAAAAAAATTGGAGAGATTCCTTTTTATCACAGAACTTTTTCCTTGCCTTCGCAACAATTCATTGGACAAATTCGCGAATATTTTGTTTTGTAGAATATCAAACGAGGCAGTTCTAAATCTCGGATCCCGCTTTCTGGAATATACGAGAGGGAACGGTGGTAGTAATTGACAGGTTTCTGATGGGGCACCCTGCCCTCTTTGCGCGAGGGGGCTCCTCCCCCCCTTCCCCCCTCGCTTGGTCGAGTTACCGCGCTATGCAATTACAAGTATTTACAAAATCACAATCGACTCTTACGGCTTGAGTCGCTTGTTCCGCCACTTCTCTATAATCTCGTAAATGTTTCGCGAAACACGTGTATAGTTTATTGTATATATACACGCACACGCGAGGATGCGTGCCGTCGTAGACGCACCCGTAATTTTACTGCCGCACATCTACCTCGCAACGAACAGAAAAATCTGTGCGTTTCACGATTTCGTAACATCAAACATGATCATTATCGACAAATGTCATCAGTCATGAGAGAGCACACTATAAATATACGACTCTCTCGTGACGAACAAGAAAAAGTAAAAATCTTAGTTTCTTTTGATTTTGAATATACTCTAAAAAATATAGGTGGATTTAACTCTAAAAAATATGGATGTGTTTATATAATTCTCACCGTATCAGTGTTGATATAAACATCAACATGGTGTGTATCTAACATTACAGTTTAAAATTCAGTGTTAAATCCACACGATAGTGTTTATATCAATACGGTAAAAATTACATCTAATACTCATGGTGTTAAATTCGCACCCATATTTTTAGAGTGTACAATTAATACAATTATTTCTTTACACGATATCATCGCACATTTACATCAGGTATCGCTCGACCGGTCGTATTAGCATTAAACTCTAAAAAGTCTGTATGTGGATTCGAACCCTGGGTGTTAAATATTGAATAAACTCTTACCGTTAGTGTTGATAAACACCACAGATCTAACACCATGAGTTTTAAACCATGGTATTTAATCCGCATTCATGGTGTTAAATCCACACCATGTTGGTGTTCAATCAACACGGTGAGAATTATAATTAACCCCTATAGTGCTAATTGAATCCACAACCATATTTTGTAGAGTATACAATTAGTACAATTATTTCCTATAATATTGCGTTCATATATCAAACAAATATCGCTCGACCGGCCGTATTTATCACTAAACGAAGGGAGTTCGTAAATTTCTAATTATCCTAATCGTATTAATGGTTTCTATCTCTTTTTACAGAACGAGTTAGGCAAATGGGAACAGTCGCACGCGTTTAACATTATAGATGCTCTAAACGGCAGAAATACGGGCCTGTTTACGTCACGGTGGCGTCGATAAGAACCTCGCGTGTGTGACTCACGCTAAACGCGCGCCTAGAATAATGCTAGAAACTAGCTTGCTCGGTTGCGCAACTTTGCGAGCTCTCTGTCTTTTCAATACTGTACGAGTCGTGTTTATATATGTATATATATATATGTGTGTGTGTGTGTGTGTGTGTGTGTGTGTGTGTGTGTGTGTGTGTGTGTGTGCGTGCGTGCGTATGTGCGTGCGTGCGTTCGTGCGTGCGTTTTTGTGCGATACGTGCGTGGGTCTACGCACTTCCGGTTGTACGAGTGACCGCGCTTAATTATACCTTGGCTTGCCGTTCGATCGTTTGCGTCGCGTTCAAAAAGGCGAAACGACCGGGTTGTCATGGTAAATCTTAATAAACAAATTAATTACGGCGATATTTGCCCTTTCAACTTCGATTTGCGACGGAGAACGAACGAGGATGCGCGATCGATTGCGGTAATTGTGTGATGCCTGACATTGTGATCGTCATTTCTTCATGTTGTACAACTATTAAATAAGTCATCGTTTTTAAATTACAATGGAATACCTTAATGGCGAACCGGATGTTAAGCTGTAATACTTTGATATGTATTGTTGCGATATTATTTAATTAGTACTGTTAACATTACTGTTAATAACGTTAATTAGTAATATTAACATTACCAATTATGTATTATTGATGGTGTCAATTAATCTATACAGCACAAATCGTCCCAACATTGCGGTAATCTTGCAAGCGTTGCGGCAACACTGCTACAGGCTCTGTACTGGAAAGATGCCATTGACATCAATATTGTAATACCAAATGTTAATTCATTTAGCGATATTACAGCTTAGTGTTTTGTTCGCTGACGTACGCTGACAACATCGCATTTGTCTTTTATCGCAATTATGTTGATCGACTTCAATTTGCTCTCCTTCACGAGAGCAATCCGAGAATCCATTAGCACTCTAACTTCGCGTCCAAAGTTCACGTAACAGTCCAAGAACTATTTCCCGCTTACGTCAGCGGGAAACTTCAGAGATCCTCTCGTTCTGGGCACTCAGCGACGGTTTTAAGACTACCTCTTGTGGTTGTGACCGCTGCCTTTGCTCCTGGGACTGTCCGAGGTCACGTCATTGGGCTCTCTCCTCTGTCTCAAGATGAAATTGAGATTGTGCGCGGTATTTACAGCGTAATAGACGTTAGCCGAGTTGGGCAGTACCATCTCCCGATCGGGTAGCACCTGGGCCAGGGTGTACTGATCGGGACTGCCTTCAAGGCCGAGCTTCAGCATGGCATTCCGGATAACCTGCGGCGTCCGCTCGTTATTCGATAACATTATCGACTTGTACAGCACCACGCCTTGCGTTTCCACGTTATCCGTTTCCATAGTGACTTTGATAATATAGAAATCAGGCGAGCTCTTGTGCGAGTGACTGGGACTAGACAGTCCGGCGAGATTCGGAGTGCTACCGTTGGCCGCCACAGCACCGGCTGGGGGTGCCAGACGAGTCTGATGACTGCCACCTCCACCGGAGCTTAGGGATACGTCCAGGGACGGTAGAGACGAGCTCGAGGACGAACTGGACATTTGGGACGGTGACGTTCGCCGGTCCAGCGAGTTGTGTGGCGAGCTCGGGAGGGAATCGAGATCGCAGTAAAATTGCGAACTGCTCGAACTGGACGTTGAGGCAATTGAATCATTCTTGCGGTGACCTTGATGACCCTGTAAGACAAGTCCCATGATTAAATTCTCGTTCGAATTCCTGTTGATAATCGAAGGTTGTTTTTTAATAGAAAGATATGTGGCTTACTTCAAAAATACTCGAAATATATATGATTATCATTAATAATATCGTCTCATGTACTTGTTTTGTGTGACTTTGGTGAAGAAATTTTGGCGCTCAGATTAGATAATTTTGAGAAATTTCTTGATATTCGTATATATTATATATATAAGAAGAAAATAGATTAGAATAGCCTTGGCCAAAAGTATAGAATATCTTCACAATTTATGTAAATATGTTTTACATTTAATGAAAAATAATATTTATTTTTTCATTTTAATGTTTTGTTAGTTTTTCTTTGGATCTTATTATTTTTCCAAGAAAATGCAATAAATTGAGGATGCCTCATACTTATGGCCAAGGCTGTATTATTAGAAATTAAAAAATGATCACCTGTTTCTTCTTGCCGCGATTGTTGAGAGTGTTCCCTGGTGGTGGCTCGATCTGACAGCTGAGTTTGTACGCTTCCCGATCATCCAATATCACCACCGAGTGGAACCAACGATCGAACACGGGATCCATGCTGAAGTTATATGCGTTTGCCGCGCCCTGCAGAAGTCTTATCCTGGCGAGCACCTCGAACTCCTTCCGTCTTTTATCAAAATTGATGAGACCATCGGCTATCGTATCCGGAATCGCCGTGTCGATCATAGTGAGGTCAGTTAGGAAGGTACCTAGGTACGGTATTGTGCCGTAACTAATGTTCTGAAATCAAATTTCAGAAAAATTCACCAATACTGCTAGTTTAAGAGAAAAGGAGAATAGCACAGAAAATACGATATATTCATCCATATTAATAAAATGGTTTCTGTGTAATCTAATCTGTATTTATAATTATTTTTGCGAATCGACTTAACACATCTTGAACTCGTTATTCAGCATAAATTTATATATAATTAGTTTTATAAATTTCTGATTCTAAAGAATTAGATATAAGTTTTATATATAAGTTATAT